CAATAATTTGGAGGTGCTGGGGAAGAAATCCAAGGTACTTGGAAATCTAGCTGAGTGATCAAGATTATTTCCTTCGGCCCTTCTCACCTGAGGATAAAAAGAAGGGTAGTGTTTCTTGTAGCTTGTTAAAAGGATGAACATAGGATATCTTTCTCCCATCCTCCTTTTTCTTTTCCCTGTGATTGGCTGAGCCAGAGAGCAGAGATGCCATCCGGGTTTCTTCAGGTTAGGAGCACAGAATGTAAAGATTCCCCTGCTTTACTGGGTAGATTATGCCAGCTTTTGATAAAGCAAATCTTAGGAGAGTGAAATTCTGTCCATCTCTGGCTATTGGTCATGCTGAGGCTGGAGTAGTCACCAATCAGACCAAGCCAGGCTTCTTAAGCCCAAAGCCCAGAAATACTAGCAAATGCAGGACCACTGGGCAATTCTTTAAGTCTCAGCCAGAGAGCTGTGGGTTCTGTCACTAACGCATTGTATGATCTTGGGCAAATTTATTTTTTATAAAATGGAAATGGGAATAGGGTGAAATGCATGCTGGGCTAGAAAGATAGCCATTGCCCTTCTTAAATTCCAGTCGGTTAACCAAATGGGAGCTTTTGAACAGTTTTCATTAGCAGAGCTGAAAGTGCAAATGGCAAGAACAACTGTCGAGAGGAATGATTTCGGGGGAGTTTCTCTAAGCTGAGGGGACTCGAGAAGGGCAGCTAGCAAGGAAAGAAGGCTGAGAGTGGGAAGGAGAAGGGGTCAAGGGTGCATGGAGGTGGAGAGTGAGTGGAAGGAACAGTTTTCATTAGCAGAGCTGAAAGTGCAAATGGCAAGAACAACTGTCGAGAGGAATGATTTCGGGGGAGTTTCTCTAAGCTGAGGGGACTCGAGAAGGGCAGCTAGCAAAGAAAGAAGGCTGAGAGAGGGAAGGAGGAGAGGGGGTCAAGGGTGCATGGAGGTGGAGAGCGAGTGGAAGCAAGGCAGAGAAGTGGAGGAAAAAAGGAGGGGATATAAGAGAAGGCATGGCTTTCTGATTGTGTGTGACGCCCTCAAGCGTCTTGATTTTATTTGTTGCCAGAGGGAATGTGCATTACGAGAGAGAGAGAGAGAGAGAGAGAGAGCAAGAGAAAGCACCCACCAATGGAGCATGGTCCCACAGCAATCCTTTTTCTTCCATTTCTTCAACTTGTCAGGGGCATGCACCTGCTGTGATGGTCAAGCCACCAGGGCTGGCTTGAAAGCTGTGGTTGACCATGTGGAATCCAGCTCCCAATGCACGCTTAACCACTGTGCTACCAGGCCAGCCCCTACAAGCTTCTCTAGAGCAGAGTTTGAAGAGCTGGTGACTCCTTCCGTCTGAGCTGCTCAACTTACCTGCAGGAGCCTGAAGGAGGGATGAGGAAGGTCCAAGTCATTCGTCCCAGTTCCTGGGATCCTGTGGCAGCATGACATAGAGGTGAGAGAAGGGACACTTCAGTTATAAGGGGGTCTAACTGAACCCAGTGGTGGCACTGGAAAGATTAGAAGAACAGGTCTTTGGGCTCCTTGCCACCCCTGCCCAGGAGGCTCTCTCTGGCAAGGCGTGAAGTTCCACAAATTATCATACATGTGAATTCAGTACCCTGGTCTTGTAGATGCCCTTCCAGACAAACCTCCCAGCCTTCTCCAAGCCTGAGAGTGGTTCTACATTCCCCCATGGAAAAGCTCTGAAACCAACCGCTTAAATCTCGGCACTGCCAGTTGTGGGCAGTGTGTGCACCGAGGTATCATAGCCTCTCTGAGCTGCTGTTGCCCTCCAAGAAGTGGGATCACGAGGGCCTTGCAGGACTGGGACTGATCCCCGAAAAGATGCTCACGAGGATCTTTGTACCCAAGCAGAAACCAGCAAATGCTCTCTGCTTTCCCTCATCAGGAGAAGATAACAACTTCGAAACGGGCAAAGGAGATCCCTGGGATCTTTTCAGTGAAACTCCAATCGTTTATCTGATTCTGCTGGGGTCTGTGACTTGACTGTTTATTAACTGTAAGCCCTAGAGAACAGAGAGAAATGCAAACGGTTTCTCCTCTGGATCGCAGAGTATCCTAGACACTACACGGTAGTGACCTGTAAGTATGAACCCATTTTGTATCTGTTAGCAAATTTGATTTTAGCCCTCCCGACTGTTTAGATGTGTCTGTCTTTAAGTTTCTCCTTTGAAATGAATGCACCATCTTAGTGGTTCCTTTACTGATAGATAATTTAAATATACATATAAAAATACATATGTATTATGTATTATGACCATTCCCCATGGTAGGTGTTTACTCCTCTCCCTCTCTCTCCGGTGAGTGCATCTGCACAAATTACATATGTGAGATGTAATGGTCAAGCTGCAATCCCTTCTCCATCTCTCCCTCATCTTAGGATTTGGGGCACTGGGGCCGGCAGGTGGCATGGTGGTTAAGGTGTTGGACTCTCACATTGCTGGCCACAGTTTAAGTCCTGGACCTGGTGGCTTTGCTTTCTCACTTTCCCTCTTTCTCTCTCTGTCCCTCTCTGGTCAATTTAAAATAAATGAATAAATAAATAAAGTGAAATAAAACACTTCTTTATTTAAAAAAAAAAAAGGATTTGGGGGCACACATATGTATATTTCTCAAGCCGCTGGGTTTGAGACTTGAACCGTACTGTTGGCTGCCTTAACCACCAGGACATAGAGCCACACCTAAATGGAAGCTTATCCACATGCTCATTTCGTGTTTTTATGAGTCATGACTGTAGTTCTGAAAATGATATATATATATTTTTGAGAGGTTTTTGCTATAGGGTGCGTGTGCTTGTCAGAAAGACAGAGAGAGACAGAGAGACAGAAAGCGAGAAATCACCCCCCAGGGGAATGGCCACGCCGCAATCCCTTCTCCTCCATTCTCCTCTCGGGATCTTGGGCACGCATGCACACGCGCCTGGCGTGAGTTTAAGCCTCCGGGTCTGGGACTTGAACCATGGTCGACTACGTGGGAGTCCAGCGACATAGCCATTATGCTAACTGCTTTTCCTGTGAAAATCCTTTTTTTTTTTTTGGAGAGGTTTTTGCTATAGGGTGCGTGTGCTTGTCAGAAAGACAGAGAGAGACAGAGAGACAGAAAGCGAGAAATCACCCCCCAGGGGAATGGCCACGCCGCAATCCCTTCTCCTCCATTCTCCTCTCGGGATCTTGGGCACGCATGCACACGCGCCTGGCGTGAGTTTAAGCCTCCGGGTCTGGGACTTGAACCATGGTCGACTACGTGGGAGTCCAGCGACATAGCCATTATGCTAACTGCTGGTCCTTTGAAAATGATATTTTAATATCTACTTCTCTGATGACTGGTAAATCACTAATTTCACTGTTATTTTATATTAAATTTCAAGACCCTCATTATACCACACATTATACACAAACAACACACACACATGCACACACACACACACACACACACACAGAGTCACACTCTTATTCCCATAATTACCCAATATCTCCTACACGGCCATAATGATAGAGTTTTTGCAGTGTGTTCATGTGTGTGTTCATATGTGCTACCAACACAGGCGTCTGGATATTTTAGATCAGTGGGTATCGATGCCTAAGATTTGAGGCCGTCTTGGAGACTCCAGTGTGGGGTCTGGATGAGGCAGAGACCTCAGGAGGAAATAACCGAGAGGCGAGTGCCAACTCCTTGGAGTCTGGTTCGTGCTGAACTCTAACTTCTGCTCACGTTAGAGCATGGTAACGACGAGTCTTCTGAGGCTCCCTCCGAGGACTTCCCCAGCTCAGGAATCGGGCACTCAGTGCTGGGGGTGTGTGACAGTGTGCTGGGCAAGACCCCGCCAGGACCAGTTGGATTTGCAGTATTGTGCTCAACATCTATCCCCTTTGGGCCACCATGTTCTGTTGCACTGAGCCACCCGGAGCCTCTGTGTGATGAGGTTCTAAGCATCGTGGAGGCCTTAGCTGGGAGGCATGGAAAGACTGCACTGTGGGTGAGGGGTATAAGACCACTTCTGGGATGTACCCCTCATACTAGACTCCTTTACTGATCCCGTAGAGAACTGAGAGCCAGTCCTTCCAGTATCCTGTTAGCTCTGAAATATGGCAGGGATCAGGGAAAGGAGCCGCAGGCTCTCCCTATTCCGAGCATGGTGTGGGACCAGCAGCACTGACGTCACCTGGGAGCTTGCTCATCCTCCAACCCAGAGCTCCTGAATCAGAATGTTCAGTTTAACGAGAGTCCCTGATGACTCCTTGGATTTGAGAAGTGCTAGGAGGACGGAGGGCTCACTCAGAAAGTCTGTGACTCTCGTTAGCCGGGGCACGTGGGCCAGTCACTTTCACCTCTCAGAGCCTTTCCGGATCTCTAAAGGGAGGGTGAAAACCCTGTGCCACGGAGCCGTGGAGTGACCACGTGCATGCAAGATCAATGCCTGGTTCTGCCCTATGGCTTGTTGAAGTTTGGGAGAATCTCAAAGATACCCTGCTTTGGGGTGGCAGACAAAACCAGAGATTAGGGGGCTAGAGCTGGGCTCTGGAGCTGATCAAAGCAGGGCCCTTCACCACTCCCCTTTGCCTACAGCAGAGAAGGCAGCTCCATAGGTGATCCTAGTTTTTTTCTTTCTTTCTTTCTTTCTTTTCTTTTTTTGGAGAAGTTTTTGCTATAGAGCATGTGCGCTCCCCAGAAAGACAGAGAGAGACAGAGAGACAGAAAGCGAGAAAACACACACCCGGGAGGATGGCCACGCCGCAATCCCTTCTCCTCCATTCTCCTCTCGGGATCTTGGGCACGCATGCACATGCACCCGGCGTGAGTTTAAGCCGCCGGGTCTGGGACTCGAACCACAGTCGACTACATGGGAGTCCAGCAACATAGCCATTACGCTAACTGCTGGTCCCCGGTAACCCTAGTTTCTCAAGCACTTTCTGCAACCACCTACTGCAGAGACCACCCTTGGGCACTTCACCCACTTCTGGGAGCCCTTTACCCTAAAAAAAAAGGAATTAGGGGCAGCACGAAATCACTTTAATAGCAGAGCAATACGTTAGAGCCAGGAGTCACAGATGAAGAAAACATTCTCTCTTCTTTTTGCACAAGTCTGCTGAGGGGTGTGGGTGCACCGGACAATCTTACAGATTTTTCACATGGAGAACTTCATAAATAGATACTTAAAAATGCCAGACGTCAGAGACCACGAGTTAGGAGTGTGATTGTTTCCTTATTCTGCCTCCTCTGGGTTGGGAGGTCGCTTCCCGTCGGCTGAAGGAGGCCTGTCCCTTAGGAGGGGTACTCATACTCCTCGGCACTGCGTCGGCCAAAATCCATCCAGCCCATGTAGTCCCGATCACTTATCCTGTGGCTGGGGTCCAGGCTCTGCAGGTTCTTCATGATGGACATTCTACCGGAAGGAGCTACAGGGGACAGGGAGGAGGGAAACAGGGGCGTTAGGTCTAAGAGCGTCACTCATTCAGTTTGAGAAGAAGCATGGGGGAAACCAGATGAAGGTATAACAGACACCTCTAAGGTACCAAAGAGCTATCAAGGTGGTAAAATGGCTGTAGCCAAACATAAGAGCAGAGAAAGACTCATCTCTCTGTAACAGGAGAGAAGCCAATACAGGGAGTCTTCAGCAGTTCCACAGAAAATGTGTATTATGAAAAAGCTGTGGGGACCAGTATTAGCGTAATGGCTATGTCGCTGAACACCCATGTAGCTGACCACAGTTTGAGTCCCAGACCCGGTGGCTTAAACTCATGCTGGGCATGTGTGCCCAAGATCCTGAGAGGAGAATGGAGGAGAAGGGATTGCAGTGTGGTCATCCCCCCAAGGGGTGATTTCTCACTTTCTGTCTCTCTGTCTCTGTCTTTCTGATGAGCACACACGCCCTATAACAAAAACCTCTCAAAAAAAAAAAAAAGCTGTGCATGGATTTCAAAGATATTTTGCACCAAAATAAACTTACTTTAATTTCATTTTTCCACAAAGTTTTCTTTTTTAGAGAGGATTTTTGTTATAGGGCACTCGTGCTCATCAGAGATACAGAGACAGAAAGCAAGAAGTCAACCCCCCTCTCCTGCAAGGGGGATGGCTACGCTGCAATCCCTTACCCTCCATTCTCCTCTACAGATTTCAGACATGCATGCACACACACCCAGCATGAGTTTAAAGCTACCAGGTCTGGGACTCAAACTGTGGTTAACTATGTGGGAGTCCAGCCTCGGCTCCCACATTGACAAAATGCACATAATAAGACTTACTGTGGGCTGGCCCCGTGGTCTAGTGGTTAAGGGAGTTGGGTCCCACATGGCTCAAAGTGTGATTTGAATCCTGGACCCAGATACTTAAAAACTATGCCAGGCATGCGTGTGGGAGTGACCAAAGTCCCGAAAGGGTAGAAAAATGCAGAAGGGACTCTAGCATGACCATGCTTCTTTGGGGTAGGTGTGTTCTCTCCCTGTCTCTCTGTCCCTCTGTCTCTCTCTGTTGAGCACACATGCCCTCTGCAAACTTTTTTAAAAATGTGCAGGGCTGTTGTGAGGACAGAGTGACAGCACAAATGTAGTGCCCTGGGGCCTCCCCCTCCCCCGCTCCCACCCTCCGGTAGAAAATTATTTCTCTGAGACCAGCGAAAGCTCTGTAGGCAATTCCTAACCATAAACTGCTCAGGGTACACGATCTTGTTAAGAGGCCTTAAGCATAATACACACAACAGTAGAGTTGAAATCTGATACGATCTTCAAAATGGGACATACTTGAAGCCGTGCAGTATTTCTATGTATAGATATTTATCCCTAGTTTGTTTTTGTCAAATAGAGGAGGATGATTGCTTGCTAGCTAGGGCTGAGTCTGAGTGTGGGCAGCTAGATTTCCAAGTGAGTGCTATTCTTACCTGGGTTTGTTTGGGAAAACCAGTCAAAGGCTAAAACAGAAGGGGGTTGGAAAGATGGCATGGTGGGTTAAGGCGCTGAAAAAAACCCCCCAAAAAAAAAAAAAAAAAAAGCTGTGCATGGATTTCAAAGATATTTTGCACCAAAATAAACTTACTTTAATTTCATTTTTCCACAAAGTTTTATTTTTTAGAGAGGATTTTTGTTATTGGGCACTTGTGCTCATCAGAGATACAGAGACAGAAAGCAAGAAGTCAACCCCCCTCTCCTGCAAGGGGGATGGCTACGCTGCAATCCCTTACCCTCCATTCTCCTCTACAGATTTCAGACATGCATGCACACACACCCAGCATGAGTTTAAAGCTACCAGGTCTGGGACTCAAACTGTGGTTAACTATGTGAGAGTCCAGCCTCGGCTCCCACATTGACAAAATGCACATACTAAGACTTACTGTGGGCTGGCCCCGTGGTCTAGTGGTTAAGGGAGTTGGGTCCCAAATGGCTCAAAGTGTGATTTGAATCCTGGACCCAGATACTTAAAAACTATGCCAGGCATGCGTGTGGGAGTGACCAAAGTCCCGAAAGGGTAGAAAAATGCAGAAGGGACTCTAGCATGACCATGCTTCTTTGGGGTAGGTGTGTTCTCTCCCTGTCTCTCTGTCCCTCTGTCTCTCTCTGTTGAGCACACATGCCCTCTGCAAACTTTTTTAAAAATGTGCAGGGCTGTTGTGAGGACAGAGTGACAGCACAAATGTAGTGCCCTGGGGCCTCCCCCTCCCCCGCTCCCACCCTCCGGTAGAAAATTATTTCTCTGAGACCAGCGAAAGCTCTGTAGGCAATTCCTAACCATAAACTGCTCAGGGTACACGATCTTGTTAAGAGGCCTTAAGCATAATACACACAACAGTAGAGTTGAAATCTGATACGATCTTCAAAATGGGACATACTTGAAGCCGTGCAGTATTTCTATGTATAGATATTTATCCCTAGTTTGTTTTTGTCAAATAGAGGAGGATGATTGCTTGCTAGCTAGGGCTGAGTCTGAGTGTGGGCAGCTAGATTTCCAAGTGAGTGCTATTCTTACCTGGGTTTGTTTGGGAAAACCAGTCAAAGGCTAAAACAGAAGGGGGTTGGAAAGATGGCATGGTGGGTTAAGGCGCTGGACACTCCCACATGGCTGACCAGGGTTCAAGTCCTGAAGTTAGTGGCTTGCTTTGTCACTTCCTCTCTCTCTCACTCTCACCCTCTGTCTCTCTCTGGTCAAATTAAAAAAAAAATAAATGAATGAGTAAATAAAATAAAAAATAAATAATTATCTTAAAAAAAGAAAAAAGAAAGAGGGGTTAGCAGAGCCAGTTCTTGAGCCCAGACGTGCAGTACTATGCATAGGAAGCTGGTTTCCCATGCAACCATCGCAGTTAAAAATCCCAGTCCTGGAGGCTTAAAAGAACACACAGGGCATACATGTACACATGTTCAAAACCCCCAGGACGGTGAGCTGGAGGAGAAGGAATTGCATTGTGACCACAGCTCATGGATCCTGCTCTCTCCCCCCACCTCCTCTCTGGCAAGGGCTCTAATAGCCACTGTCGGGTTCTAGGAAATAATTCGGTAGCCAGCCTTTTTTCTAGAATTGTTTCTCTTGGATCTGTCCTGCATTTGTGGAGGGGAGTTCTAGATTTATGGCTCAGTGATAAGCCTAGAATATTTCCAAGTATTCTGGTTGAAATGCAATCCACATTTGGAGACAGGCCAGAGAGAAAGGGAAAGTGAGAAAGCACCCCTGGAGGGGGACCGGGGTGAGATGGCCACCCTTAATCCCTTCTGCTTCATTCTTCTCTCAGGACTTTGGGCATATTTGGACACGTGTGTGTTCTTCAAGCTGCTGTTTTGAGACTCAAACTCTAGAGTTGGCCAAGTGGGATCCACCTGCTGTAACCGCTGCTCCCCCTCCTAGAGTAACGCTCTTTTTTAAAAAAATTTATTTACATTTTTTTAATACATTCAATCACATTATTTAGCTTACAAGGTGATCATTTCAATATGTGAGCATTTATCCCCGGTCCAGTTGATCAAAATACAACACTACCTCCCTGTCTCAACAATGCTGTCTCCATATCTCTCCTCCAAATGTTTTTCCCGGGGCCCCACTCCTCCACACACACCACATCTGGCATTCACACCCACCTCTTCTGTTTGTACATCCTTTAGCCCGTCAGTTTCAGTTACAGAGTGCAGACACCCGGGATATATTAAGTGGGGACATACGCTGTTTCTCCTTCATAGCTTGGTAACGCTCTTTTAATAAAGTGGTGTCGAATTAACACCACCATGGCAAAATGAGCTCGAAGGAAGGTTTTTGAAGGTTACTCTTACTAATAAATGAAGTCCTCCACATCCACTCCTACTTAGCTGCAAACAACGTGCAGTAAGCTGCACTGGAGCTGGGAGCAGTGTCACTTGGGGCGGGAAAGTGGGAAAACTCAGTTTAACGCGTTTTCTCCCGGGGAACTACCTCCAACCGGCGTGTGCTAGAGAAAAGGGTCTGGACTGGGGTCTGGACTGGGGCCTGAGCCTGGGCGGGTGAGGGAGGGGTGGGAAGCCGCACCCTTACCTTTCCTGGCCTGCTGGATGTACCTGGCCAGCAGCGCGCCCAGGTGCGCTCGGGGCTCGCTGTCAGGCCTCTGCCCCGCCATGAGCTGCCTCCGCGGGGCCTCTTCAGCCGGCTGCATCCCGGTGCCCGCGGGGTCTACTGGGGGCACCGGCTGCGACAGAGCACCCACCGCCAGCGTCGTCATCAGCACACACAGGCACACGCCGCTGTTCATGGCTATGGGAAGCAGAGGGGCACCAGTGTTAACCAAAACCTGGGTATCCGCGGGCTCTTGCGGGGGATCAGGAACCCAGAATCCGACTCAGACCAAGGGCAGGAGCTCCGGCCCCGCCAGGCAGCCGCGAGCTCTAGGGTCGCCGAGCGCAGACCGCGCGGAGTGGCCACAGCACCCACGTCCTGGCGCTCGGGGCCGGTCTTCTGGGTAATCCGAGCCGAGCGTGGCGCGGAGGGTGAGTGGCGGGGGGGGACCGATTTCTGCCAGGTTTAGCGAAAGGCATGTCTCCCGCTTTCCTCAAGTTTGAGGAAGGGTTTGGAGAGCATCCCTCTTCTAAGGGGCAAGGTGCGAGATGGAAAATAGTGTGAACGATGTTCTCAAGGGAAGGTTTTTAGAGAGCTAAGAAGCATGCCATACCGAAATAAATGATGAACGATTACAGAGTGCGGACACTCAGGATATATTAAATGGGGACATACAGTGTCTCTCCTTCATAGCCTGGTAACTTTATAAAGGCGGTTTTTATTTATTGCTCCCGCATTTTAAATTGCACTTCTCAATTTAAAATGCGGGAGCAATAAATAAAAGTGCAATTGCAGATGTGGGAGCGATAAATAAAAACCGCGTTTAAAAAGTTTTCCCAAGGTGTCCATAGGAGTGGGTAATTCACCACCACCCACAACATAAAGCAAAGCTTTCAATCATCGACACTGCGCGCCGGGCTCTCTGCGGCTGACAAAGCCCCGCCACGTTCTAGATTCCAGAGCCGATCAAACACCTGCGCGCTTCTGAACGTCCTGGGTTTTTCTGCCGTAGTGGGAAAATCAGAATCTTACACCTCGGGATCTGTTATTGGAAAAGATCGCAAAGAGCACCGCAGCGCTGCGTAAACGCTAAAAAAAAAATAAATAAATAAAATAAAAAATAAAGATCTGAATGTGCATGCGAATCCTAGCAAATGGACACGCCGTTGTGTGCAGGGCAGAGAAGACGCGCGTGAGTTCAAGTCCCGGCAGCGGCTCACACACCCAGCGCCCGTTATTGCGGACCTTCGAGCTGTCGGAGGGAAGGCACAGAAAACAGAAAACCGAAATGGGAAGGAGGACGAAAGTGAAGGCGCAGGACTCTTGGACCCGTCGCCGTCGCCGGCCGCCGAGGACCTACCTTAGGCTGGGGCGCAGCGGGCTGAGCGTGTCCCGGGGGCGCAGGCAGAACCAGGTTCGGGGGGGGCGGCGGGCAGGGTAAATAGCCCCGCCCGGCGCGGCCGCCCTGTCATCCGTTTACCCAGCGCTGACGCACACCGGCAGCAACACGTGCTCAGGGGCGGCCACTGGGGCCGCAACTGAATGAAGTGGCTCCCGTGGGAGGGGGGAAATGGCCAGGTGGAATGGGGTTACCCTCCCAGGAGGGGTGCGCTTGTCCGCCCCGCACCAGGGAGCTTCCTCTCCCTTATCCGGCCCCGCGCGGTGCTCTCCGAGGTGGGAGGACTCGGAGCGATCGCCTTCGGTCTCATCTGGGGACCGGATGGGCTGCAAAGCAATCTGGGGGGACTCTAGGCAGAATTGAGGCTCAGCCGTGGAACCCGGACACGCAGGGAAAGTCAGGGTGTTCGCTTTCTTCTCCGCCTGGCTGAAAGTCCCCCCTCCCCCCCAAGTGCTCCAGGATTCCGACGTCGCCTGCCACCGCGGGCTAGGGCGTCCCGAGCCTCTCGGTGCAGCTGAAAAATGGGGATCCCGTTTGCGAAGGGGCGAGCGCTAGCTGCGGGGAACCACCAAAGGTTCTAGAGCGCTTGCTCTTCATGGTACCCCCCGCCCGGCCCCGAGGTCTCGGGGTCCGCGGCGCCCTCCCCTCCCGCGATCCCGAACACCTTACACTCGCGCCTCCCAGCCCAGGTCCTGGCGGAGCTCGGCTGCTGGCCTTCCGCTTCGCTCCCGCCCCGAAGGCAGAGGAAAGCCCGACAGTGCCTCCTCTGTGCGGTCCACACCCCTAACCCCCGGCTCCCGAGCAGGGCTACCTGGAGCCGCTCAGCGCGCCGTGGCTGTCTACACCCGGAAGCCGTTTGTGTTGGGGTGCGCCGGCTGGTGCTCAAGAGCGTCCCTGCAAAGGCACAGCCGATCCCCTTGACAGACCGCACACCGAGCTGCAGGGAGAGAGGGCGCCTCGCCGAGGCCCACCGCGGGGCCCTCACCTGCGCCCGCATCGCGGCCTCCCTGCCTGGGACCTGGGGTCGCCCTCACCTCCCATTCCCGGGCCCTCAACTTCTCCCTTTCCGGTGGTCCATCCGTGTCTCTGATAGAAAGGAGAAAGACAGGGAACGGCGTCTTTTAAAATCGCAATCTGTGCTCAGTTCTGGAGCGCCTGGGATGGAAGGACAGCCGTGGTGGATGGCTGCTAGTTGTAATCTCCCTTTCTTTTCTTTTTTTCTTTCTTTCTTCTTTTTTTTTCTTGAGCAGATTTTGCTCTTGGGCGTGTGCACTTGCCAGAGAGACAGAGAGAGACAAAGAGACAGAAAGGGAGAAATCCCCCCCCAGGGGGGATGGCCACGCCGCAATCTCTTCTCCTCTGTTCTCCTCTCGGGATCTTGGGCACACACACTCACACATGCAACCGGCGTGAGTTTAAGCCACCAGGTCTGGGACTTGAACCGCGGTCAACCACGTGGGAGTCCAGT